AGCTGTCCCCTCCCTGTCATCACTGAATTGTCCCCTCTCAGATATCCTTCTAAAAAAACTGCTGTGCTTTCCCTCTAGCTCCCCACTGTCTCGCTTCAGCATCATACACAGCCCCTCCAGACCATTCAGTGCTCATGCTGCCCGCACAAGGGCTGGGTATGGGATTTGGCAAAGCCTCTGACCTCTGCACACATCCCATGTGCTGCCACTTGGGATGTACTAGGGTATATGTGGAATATGGTGTGACCTGCCACTTTGATGTTCTTACCTGCTTCCCTTCCCATCACTGCTTCTCCAGCAGCCAGGGCTTTTGGAGCTCCCCTGTCCCCACTTTCCTCCCTAACTTTCCTTTGCTGTCCCCTTCCTCAGGTTGCCACTCATTCAAATCCCATCCTTTGAGTACCTGGTCCCTGCCATGGTGCTGAGCTCCCACCTGTCCCTCAGTGCCAGCACAGACAGGAATGGTGAGCACAGCCCTGGAACCTCTGTCCCTTGGAACCCAGACCATGCTGGTGCCGGGCGAATGGCAATGATGAGATGCCTGGTACATGGGGTAGGGATGAGGGGTAGCAAGGGGTCCTGCCTGCTGGCTCCCTGGTGATGGTGCACAGCTCCCTATTCACCCCTGTGTGACATCTGGTCCCCTCCCCAGGACCAGGGCATATGGGGACACAGATGCTGGCACACTGGTCCTCCAGCCAGCAGCCTCTGTGCTGTGTGCTATTGAACATGGCTCTTGGAGCTCAGCACCCACATGCACCACATCCCTCCAAAATTCCCTTCTAGGCACAGCTGCGGCCAGCACATGCCCTACATCGCATTGCACTGTCGCAGGGAGCTGGGCTGCCTCGCTGCGAGAGGTGGGTGCCCCTGTGCTGGCATCAGGATTCCTGTCCTGCTCCACCAGCTTCCCAGTTGTCACCCTCATCCCTGCACCCCCAGCTCATTTTCCAGCCCTCCTGGGGATTGCCATGAATAGAGGGGACACACAGCATTGTGACAAGGCAATGAGAATAATGATGCATGTGGGTGTATATATTCTTCTGTGTTTGGGGTGAGAGGAGCATGTGGAACAAGTGATGCTACTGAGGCTGTGGGACTGTGGTCAAGGGGACGTCTTGGGTTTCTTTCCATGTATCCTGCCCCAAAGCCCCCCTAATTTCCTCCTGCAGGTCTCTGGAGCGGTGCTGACCTCTGGGCTGATCGAGTTGTTGATGGGAGTGTCTGGTGTGTGCGGGTGGGCCATGCAGCGCTGTGGGCCCATGGTCCTGGCCCCCAGCCTCTCCATTATTGGGCTGTCTGCATACAAGGAAGCTGCTTTCTTCTGCTCCACTAACTGGGGCATAGCACTGCTGTATGTGAGACCAGGGACCAAACCCATGTGTGGCTCCTGGAGCTTTCCTTCACCATGGGGACAGGGATGGGACATCCCTACAGTGCACAGCACACATTTGGGGCCCCATCATTGTGATGCTGTGTGGTGATCTATGCTCCCTTTCCTAGGCTCATGCTCCTTACTGTCACCTTCTCCCAGCACCTGCGATCCTGCCGCCTGCCCTTCTGTACCTGGCCCCATGCTCAGGAGGGCTCCGCAGAGCCACCAGTCCCCACCCTGCGCACATTCTCGGTACTGTGGCTTGCCTGCTCCCTCCACTGCAATCAGGCCTCTCTCTGAACCTGGCTCTGGTGCGGTCTTAGGTGGGACCTGGAGCAGAGGTAGGGGTGAGAAGTTCTGGTGCAGCTCCCAGAACATGGGTGCTGCCGGGTGAGTGCTGGGGACCTAGGGTTGGAGCAGCAGAGCCTGGAATGCTCCCTGCAGGGGTAAGGGGAGATGTGGCATGGCTCCTTGGAAGAGGTGATAGGACAAGGACCTGCTGTCTGGAGCACAGCAGATGGGCTGCTGGCCAGGGCAGGTAGTGTAGGAGGGTCCTCAGCTGAGGGTCCCTGTTTACCTTGCAGGTACTGCTCCCATTTGCTGGTGTCTGCATTGTCTGCGCCATCCTTAGCCACTTCCACATCTCCTGGGAATCGCTGGACCTGGCCATGGCACAGCTATCCTGGGTCAACAGCACCTTCCAGGCCCCTTGGGTCCGCATTCCCTATGCAGGTGGGGGGCAGCAAGGTTGACTGCATCCATCCACCTTTGGCCAGGGGTCTATCAGTCATCCCTCTTTCCTCTGCTGCAGGTGAGTGGGGGTGGCCACTGCTCACCCCACGGGCACTGGCAGTGGGCATCGCCATGGCCATCAGCTGCAGCATGAACTCAGTGGGCTGCTATGTGCTGTGTGGGAGGCTGCTCCAAGCCCCCCGGCTGCCTCCTCATGCCTGCAACCGGGGGCTTTGTATGGAAGGGTTGGGTAGCCTCCTGGCAGGACTGCTGGGCTCCCCAGGGGGCACAGCCTCCAGCATTGCCAACGCCTGTGCCACCGGCCTCACACAGGTAAGCCAGGGTAGGGGAGGAAAGGTTGGCAAGGGATGGGGAGGCAATGGAGCAGGTGCAGGGGACCTGTAATATCCAGGAGGTCATTGAGCCAGCACTGGGAAAGGCAGGTCTGTGTGGCAGTATGGGGAGGACGACAGAGTGAGGGGTAATGTTCCCCATCCTCACTTTCACATTCTTCTTTCTGCCAGGCTGGCACTCGCATCTCAGTGCAAGTAAGTGCGCTGGTGTGCGTGGTGCTGGGCATGTCCCCGAGGCTGGCAGGGTTCCTCACCCACATCCCGCTGGCGGTCCATGGTGGGTACCATGCCCTGCCCTGCCCCTCACTGCAGCACCTGCAGCCTGCCTGGTGCTGCCTGACTCCTGCCCCTCGCAGGAGGAGTGCTCTGTGTCACCTACGCCGTGGCTGTGGGCACGGGAATCTCCTACTTCCAGTATGCAGACATCGACTCAGGGAGAAACATCTTCATTGTTGGCTTTGCCATGTTCATGGCACTGCTGGTACCACGGTGGTTCAGCACTGCTCTGACTCACCTGGCCACAGGTAGAAGGGACATTCCCCAGGCAAGGCAAAGCCTTGGCTCCCATGCCATGGTGACAGCACATTTCAAATGTCCTCAAAGGCTGAGGCAGCTCATGGCAGCTGGCAGCTCCCTCTGATCCCTGGGTCTGCTGCAGGTGCTCCTGCCCCTTTCCCCCAGCTGGGCTGGGATCTCCTGGTTAATTCTGGCACTGTCCCTGCAGGCTGGGTGCCACTGGACCTCCTCTTCCTCTCCCTGCTCATGGTGCCTGTCTTCTTAACTGGTTTCTTGTCATTTTTTCTGGAGAACACAGTCTCAGGTGAGGGTCTGCTCTAGGTGCTCTAGCTTGAGCCCCTGCTCTAAGGGCTGGATCCCAAACCACCAGTTCTGCCTCAAGGCAGTCCTGCTGAGAGTCCTGGGTCTGGCATGGGCTGGGAGGATGTACCTGGAGGAAGGGGCTCCCATCTCACTGTCCATGTCTCTGTGTGCAGGAACTCTGGAGGAACGAGGGCTGCTCTCCAAGCTGGCACCATGGAAAGCCAGGGCAGGCGATTGTCACCCCTGTGGAGAGAGAGGCGAAGCCAACCAAGCATATGGGCTCCCCACTGGGCTGAGGAGGCTGCTGCCATCCTCCTGCAAAGCCTTCCCCTGCTGCTTCCTCTGTCCAGGGAATGAGGAAGAGGAGGACAATAGCTGTGCCACTGAGGAGGAGATTGCTGCCCCAGGGGAAGGGACACACCTGCTCCCCAAACCTAGCTCTGGGGAGCTGCAGCCAGTAATGAGGACGAGCGAGACAGAGATGCCTGCATGGCACACTGTGGCCTGACCCTGTAGTGTGGGGATGCCTCATTGGGAAACCAGGGCTGTGCCCCCAAGGCAGCTTGTGAGCCACTTTTCCCCTTGTTTCTGGAGCCCATATGGACTCAAGGGACCTGTGCTTCCACCCTCCCAGCCCAAACCTCATTTCTTTACTTCGGAGCTAACTATAAAAAGCTTTAATCAACTTTGCCCTTTCCAAGGGTTTCCTTTTCAGATGGGAGTTGCCTGGGAGATGCCCTGGTACCCTGAGCATTGACTAGAGGGTGTGGCCACCTGATGCCACTACAGCTGGGGATGTGGGTGCTTCTAAAATCCACCATCACCCTGTGGACATGATTAGGGGAGGGCTCAGCGCTTTGGCCAGCTCCAAAAGACTGTCACCCCAGGCTCTGCTCACCTGCTGGCACTGTGCTCAGGAAGCGCTGGGTCTCCATCCCCTCCCTCCTGAGTCCCAGTTGTGCCTATGGCCCCTTGATGCCTACGGCGCCAGTGGTATACTAATGCTCTGGCAGCCCAGGATGGCCCAAGCTGAGGATTCAACTCAGTTTACTTTCCTAAAACAACGAACCCACTTTCACCTACAGCAGGTGGTCCCAGCTGCACTCATCACATAACTGCCCCCTAGGCATTGGCCTTGTGACTAAACCAGCCAACAGCAGATTTCTCCAGAGAAGAAAACATCTCCTTTGACCTTAGGATTAAGCTCAGGGCCTGGGCTGTTTCTCACTGCTGTCTGCAGCAAAGCCTGCATCAGCCCTGCTCGTTGCTCCAGCATTTACAGCAAATCAGTCTGTGGGCAGGACTCTGCTGCCTCCCCTCTGTGTCACCTCGACCAGTCTGAACTGGCCTGCAAAAGCTCAGCAGTGGGGTAAGAAAGGCTGGGCTTTGCAGACCCTGGGTGATGCAAGCTGGCCCAGGGTGCAAACTCGAAGGGAGGACAGACTTGTGCTGGCAGAAACCTAGAGCTGGTCCATGGGTGTGACATGCTTGGGCTGGACCACAGCTCCAAGTTGTGGCTGCCCCCTCCACCTGGTCCCAAGGAGTCATCCAACACCCAGAAGCACCCAAATGTGGATGCAGTGTGGGATGAATGTGGTGGCACTGTGTGTGCAGGTCTCCACATGTGAGCCCTCTATCCCAAGCAACCTGTGATCCTCACAGCTGGGCCCTGTGCATCCAGTGGGCATGGGGTGTGATGCACAGCTCATCCTCATCCAGTCAGCACCCCAACCTGGCCCTACATTCCAGCTGTGCCCAAAGTCCAACTGCTCCCCCATTCCCTGGTACCCCCTTGGGATGTAAACCCTCTGGGATGACCACCCTTCTCTGGCTGTGCCCTGAAGGGTAGCTGCAGCCTACATGCTAGGAAGAGGGGTGAGTGGAGGGGTATGTGAATGGAGTGTAAACTGGTGGCTCAGGGGTAGTGCATGGGATCATTTTGGGGGTGCAGGGTGGATGGCTTCAATTCATGGAGTGCAGATGGGGGATCACATGCATGCTGGGGTTTGAGGGCTCAGTGATAGGGTAAGGATGGGGCTGTGCTCAGTGCGGTGGGGGGTGGGGGTGCGTGGTGTGCCAGGTTGGCACAACCTGCTCTGTGTTGTCTTGTATGCCGAGTTCTCAGGCACGGGGGACAGAGGCACCTGCAGCCCCAGCTATGCAGGGCTCGCTGGGATGCAGCAGCCGAGTCCCCGGACAGCCTAGGAGAACAGCAGTGCAGGTGCATGCCCTGTGCAGTGCCTGTGCCGGCACCCTGAAGCTGAAGAATACACCCGGGGCCAAGGGACAAGAGGATCCCTCGCCGCCGCTGCCTCTCCAGCTGCACCGTGACTGCAGCCCGAGGGCTGTCCCTAGCTGGACACTTGTGCCAGGATATTTCATAACAGGAGCAAGCGCAAAACAAAATCGTAAGGCATTTCGGCCTCCATCGCTTTGCACAGCGTCTTGGTCGCGGCACCTCCTGTGACCCGGGGATGCTGGAGAGGGACACGCCAGCTCGGTTCCCTTTCCTTGCCAGCAGGCGACGGAGCAGGAACAGCGACTACCCCGGCTCTGCGGCAGCCTTGGCAGTTTCCCCGCGGCTGTGACCCATCCCAGCG